TGTAAATGAAATCATATGGTATTTGTCTTTCCCTGTCTGACTTATTTCACTTATTCTCCCCTGTCCTTTATAGTTTTTTAAAACTTTGTTAATGGACTTCAGTTATGTAGAATTGGATTAATGATAATCCTTGGTTCTTCATGCAATATCATTATTGGCTCTTTTATGTCATTTATTTATTTAATGTTCTAAAAAATATCTGTGAACCCACCTCTCAAACCAAAAGCTAGTGCATTACCAATAATTCATATCTACTTATGGGTATCTATTCTCTTCCATTCTCTTTCCCCTCTCACAAGTAACCTGAATATTGTGTCTATCCTTCCCTTGCCTTAAAAATAGTTTTATCTCGGGGCTGGCCAAGTGGCGCATTGGTTAAGAGCTGGTTTGGGACGCCAGCTCTGAGCAGCAGGGCCCTGGTTCGGATCCCACATATGAGGGCCAGTGACACTGCCCTCTACAGCTAAGATGCTGAGCAACAGCTCAACCCGGAGCTGGGCTGCCATGAGTCGCCGGCAATGGCGTAGGCTACAGCCCCTGCTGCAGTGGGTTGCCATGGGCTACCGTGTGTGGCCAGCAGCCAGCGTGAGCGGCCCTCAAGCCGCTGTGAGTGGCCGTCCAGAAGCCCGCGACTGATCTGCCTCGCCCGGGAAGAGCGCAATGATGGTGCCAACTTGGGCCAGTGAAGCAACGTCCTCCACAACTAGACTGAAGAACAAAACGAAAGAAACTTGTCTGTTCCCCTTCCCCAATTCCCCAATAAAAATCTTTAAAAAAATAGTTTTATCTCATATGTATGTGTGAATAGATAACAAATTGCTTAGTTCTACTTATTTTTGAACTTTATAAATTGATATAATATTAAGCCATGTGCTATCTTCTGGGCCTTGTTTGTTTATTCAACATTATGTCATTAAGATTTGTCCATTGTGTTGCATGAGACTACAGTTAATTTTCACTTGAATAATTAATAGAAGCAAGCCGGGTAAATGATAATTAGAAGAGTACTTCAGGTGGAAGAATAGCATGTGTTAAGGCCCTGAGATGTGAAAAAGAACGCCAGTCTTGAGGAAGTATATAGAAAGGATCTCCAGTAACTCTGGAGTACTGAGGTCTAGGGGAAGAATAACTGAAGATGAATTAGGAGTAGCAGCCAAGGGCCAGACTATATAGTGCCTTGTGGATCATGGTAAAGATCTGGGCTTTTATCCTAAGTGCAATGAAAATCATTCGGCAGGGAAATGACATACTCTGGTTGGCCATTTAAAAAGATTAATCTGGCTACTCACAAATAATAGATTGAGAAGAAGATGTAGCAAGAATCTAATCCTGAGGTGGGTACTATTATTGTCCCCATTATACCAATGAGAAAACTAAAGCTCAGAGAGGATCTATATATGGATATAGAATTCAGAGAGGTTTGGTTTTGAGACATAGATTTAGGTATTCATCAGTTTATAGTGAGAGCCATAGAACTGAATAAGATCACCTAGGGAGAGAATATAGATAGAAAAGAACAAAGGGTTAAGCAGAAGCCTTGAGGCACTCTAATATTTAGACTTTGTTAGAGGAGTAGAAAAAGACACTAAAATGGATTAGCCAGTGAAGTAAGAGTAAAACCATAGAATTATTTTTACATAGAAGCCAAGAAGGAAAAAAATAAACTGCTTAATGAAAGAAGCAGTGGTCAACTATGCCAAATGTTGCTGAAAAGTAAGGTGAATTAAGGACTGAAAAGGGCCATTTGATTTAGCAACATGGAGATGGTCAACCTCTACTTCCTTAGCCATCTTAGGGCATGCACAGAAGAGCTTGAGAGAAGTATTATTATCTCCTGTGTTTTTGTGTGAAGAAGCTAAAACTCAGAGGGGTTAGGTTTGCCTCAAGTAAAACAGCTAGGGAATGACAAACTTGGAACTGGAAGTCTTTTTCAAAATCCAATCTTTTTTTCTACTAATCCACAGCGCTTTTCATATCTGGAAAAGGCTTTTTTTTTTTTTTGGTTTGCTACATGACTGACTGAGGTCCTGTGTGTACTGCAGAGCTGAATTCATTTCAACATGCCTGGGGTGTATATTATGTGCAAAGCTCTGTGGTAGTCACTGGAAAAGTTTTGAAAATGAAAAAGACACAGACCATACTCCCAAGGAGCTTGCACAGTCTTGTAAGATAACATCTGTATAACTATGTTCTAAGACAGTGGAAGTATAGAAAAATGAGGATTTGGGTTAGATCTGGACGAATGACTTGATAGGGGAGAGCTTTTTCAACTTCCTATTTATTGCTATACACTTGCTATGTGCCTAGCAAATAGCTGGGCTTAATAAATACTTGTTATAACACATATTGAATACCAACTTTTTGACAGGCGCATGGTGATTATATAGCAATAAATAGGAAGTAGACTCTGGCTAAAATAAGTAATAAAAGTAAAAATAAAATTAGGGTAATAGGGAACTTATTGAAAAGATAATGGGATATCTCAGAGTTAAAGGAAGAGTTGACTCAGAAAGTGAAGGAATAAAGTCAGCTCTGGGTACAAAAGCATTATGAATTTATGGATCTTCTCCCCAGCTTTAATGTGACTTCCCCACCAGTAACCAATCCCAGACTCTGTTTCAACTCAAAAGATCATGTGCCTGGGAGAGAGAAACTGATTGTCCCAGATGAGTCAGGGATCTTGCCCTGGAACAAGATATTATGGCCAAAGGTTCACATATCACAGACATCAGATGTGGCCATTACAGAACAACCTATGATTTCAAACCACTTACAAAAAAGGTAAATACTTGCTAATTGAATATCCACCACAGTCTATGTTATATTTATATCTAACATCAATAGGAATGTGTTCACTTTTTTCAGGCTTGATATTCCAAGCCTTTGCCTGTCATAAGAACTTTCTGACATCAGCAAGTTGACCGAAGGGAACTGACAGGGAATTTCTAAGACAGAAGGAGCCTATGGCAACTATTAATTCAATCTCATTGTATAATGAGAAATATGAGGCCGTTGCATGCAGTCTTACATGTAGCCACACAGCAAATGAGTGGTAGTATTGGGTTATAGGAAACTTTTCAACTTTAATTCTGTGGGCCCTTTCTCTGCCTATGCTCCATAGTGCTTAGCACTGTGCTGAGAACATAACCATGGTATCTTTCAAACCCACCCGTGATATCATGCTCAGGAATAGGCAGAGACCTAGCAAGAGGTATCTGTCATCCATGGCCAGAAGTTTAGAGAATTGGGCCAAGCTGAGTAGCTTTTATGAGCAGGCGGATAGCTGAGTTGGGACAAACAATTGATAAGCAATCAAGGACATGTCAATGACAACTTAAGACAGGCCTAAAAGACAGAATTCTTATCCTTCTCAGTTTTCTCTTCTTGAGGCTAATCAGCCCTAGGTCCTTCCATTGGAAAAGGGAAGTGATTGCCTCTTATGACTTGTATCAGGTCATAGCTTACGGAATTGTTCAAATCATCCTTCTTGCTTTAGGTAACAAATGTCCGTAATTACAGCTGCTCCCCTTCATCTTTAACCAGTTAACATCCGGGAGCTGGTGTGTCTGCTCTTCCCAATATCATGACTGACTATAAGGTTAGTTTAGGAAATACAGTGTAGTGGGAAAATATGTATATTTTGGTTGACAAACCCGAAGACACTTAAGTCAACCACCAGCAAGTAACTGCAAATCTTAAAAGCCAACATAAAAGTACACTGCCACTAGATCACTGCTCCAACTACCATTTCTAGCTCAGCTCAGAGGCAAGGTATCCAGATAGATGTTCTAAGGAAGAATAGATTGGGCAAGTGGTTCATAACAGGTGCATCTTTTTTTGCTGCTTTCTTTTTTTTTTATTTGATTGTTGTTTTAAAACAGACAACACCCAGATAGATCCCAGAAGACATCACCTTCAATCATTCTTTCATCAAATATTGAGTCCCTACTATATGGCAGCCACTGTTCAGTATGCTGAGGATAGAGCAGAGAACAAACAGGTAAAATCCCTGCTCTTACTGAGCTTATACTCTAGTGGGAGAGAAATTTACCACAGAAGCAAACACACATATACGATTGTTTTAGATTGTCATCAGTGCTATGATAAAAAACAAAATGGGATATAGTCACAGAGACTGCCTGGGCCATGTGAGTTACTTTAATACGGGTGGTCAGGGAAAACCTCTGTGAGATCTGAAGGATATTGGAGCCCACTATGGGTAGAACCAGATAGAAACAAAAGAAAGTGCAAAGTCCCTGAGGTCAGACAGAGTTTAGCATATTTGAATAAAAAGATCACTGTGGCATGTGGAAAATGAACAAGGTTTTTATAAATCAAGTCAAAGGTAGGCAGGGACCAGGTATAACAATGGTGGCTGGGGCCAGAGTGGTAGTGACAGAAATGGTGATAAGTGGTAAGATTCTAGACATATTTTTAAGACAGAGCCAACAGGATTTCTTGAAGAGTTGGATGTGACGTGTGAGAAAAAAAGAGGGAGTCAAGGATGACTCAATGCTTGCTGCCGTGAGGAACCAGGTGATGTCATTAACTGGAATGGAGAATTGCATTAAATATGATTTCTGATGGGTCATTCTGGAGTTCCACTAATAATTGTGGATGGGACCTCAGGGCCCTTCTCGGACTTTGAACTGCCTAGCTATGGAGTGAGGTGGTGGTGTGGGGCTGTTGTTTTGGATGAGTTATGGGCATGAAGCACATTTCTGGGAATCCCCGCCCTCTCTCCCCCAATTCTAGTCTGAAATCTCGAGATTTACACAGATGTGAGACAGACAAGACTGAGTATACCGGGCCAGGCCAAACGGAGAGGCCCCAGAGACAAGGGATCTGCTGTAGCCACTTCAGTCCATAAACTATACGGAAGTGGGCGGCGCCAGAGAGGGCGCTGCAGAAACTTTCTTGGCGATTTGGCAACCTAAGGAACCACTTTTACCAGAAACAAAGTAAAGAGATGGGGTTGGGTATGGCCTGGCCTGGCCCGCCCGGAAGGAATCTGGGTGGAGCCAACTATGAAAGCTTCGGAGCAGAGGGGGAGGGGAAGCCGCTACTAGCAACTAACCTCAGCTTCCTAAACTCAGCAGAAAGGTCGGAAGCATTGTTAGAAAGGCCAGGATCCCTGTGATTCTGTCTGCCCGCCAAAGACAGACGAAAACCCAAGTTGTGCGATGCAGCTTTAAAGGGGCTGGTGATTGACAGAATGTGTAGCAGTGGATGGGGTGGAGCCGCTGGGTGGGGTCTGGGACCGGCAGCTGGGAGAAACCAAAAGGAAGAAAAAAGAAAACCATTGCCCCTGATATCGCTAATGCGGGGCGGGGGAAGCTAGCTAGACAGGGAGGAAAAGGAGGGTTTTAGAGCTCACCTCCACTCCTACCCACGGTCAACTCTCTCAAACCCTTCTGTGTCCTTTTGAGATATTTAAAATCGAGTATACACCGGCCCTAGTCGGTGCCCATTCCCTCTAACTCTCCACTGAACTAGGTTTGTAGTACAAGGGAGTGAGGACCCCGAGTCCATCAGCTCAACCCCAGCCCCGCCTCGTTCGTTGGCCCTGGCCCCGGGCTGGATGAAGAGGATGCCTTCGGAGGCGCAGAATCCGAAAGTAAGTCCCTTTCATTTTGCTTACCCACCCCTCCCCTTCCTTTTGCCTCCCCTTACTGGGGTATCCACAGGACTGCGAAGGAGCCGCCTTATAGAAGGAGACTCTTTCAAGGAGGATCCAGAGGGTGGAGCAGGGTGGGGTAAGAAAGGGAGGGAAGGGGAGGAGGGGTGGCGCCTCAGAACCTAGGGGAGCTGTTACCCACGGGATAGGCGCTCTCAGAGTTTGATGTTTGTATGGTTTAAGCCTGGGTTTCCCCTCAACTCATTAGAACCTCGACTTACCCCCTCCAGGCGTTCTTTCTTTTTGTCACACTCCAGCATCCTTATCAGGTTGCTTAAAGCCTCTAGCTGTGAGTTGGGAGGGCTCCATCTTGCCTGGTTTCTTAAAGGGACAGTGCACTAGTTCAACTGAGGGAAATCTGTGATGGAAATTCAATTTAGAGAAGGATGGCAGTGACTTGCCATATTATGCAATACAAGTGTCGGGGGGGGAGGGGATTTGTATGGAGAGGACAGCATTTTCTGCCTTATACCAGCCTCCAAACTTGGTTCTAATATCTAGTTGATTCTCAGGATGTGCACCCTGAGCAGTATTGCCAAGTTACACATTAGTTAGCTGCAGTCAATTGGCAGTTTTAGCTGAAGGCTAAAATTTCTGTTTCCTGAGACATGCCATGGCAGTGAAGGTGATATGAAAAAGTTAATTCATTCTACAAATATTTATTGAATGCCAGATCCATTGCCTGTGGCTGATTCCACTGCTAAGTGGTGTCTATGATATGTCAAGACCACATAGAGTGGAGTCACTGACTCCTTTCTTAACAGATTGATGGCTAGGTTTTCTTCCTAGGACATAGAGATGAATGTTGAATTTGATTTCCAACATTTACCTAGCATCTGTCATGTGAAAGTTCCAGTGGTTCATGTTTATTGTCTTTACTTTAGTGCCAGTTACCCATATGCCCAAGCCCAAGTCACTGGGAGATCCAGCCAGAAGAGATAGGAACTCAAGTCAAAATGGCATGCAAAAGGAGAGAGGCACCGTGCTTCAATAGGGAAGCCAAGCCCATCTTGGCTGATCTGCCATTCTCATGTCCATGTCCAGTCAGGATTACTGTGTTGGGGAGGAGGGCTTCACTATCTCTGTTCTGATGTTAAATAAAAGAACTGATGTGGTGGAGACTTGTTAGAAGGCCTCAGATGGACCAGTGACATCTCTTCCATGTTTGTCTCCCTCATGTTTCTGCTTGGGGGTGGGGTGGGAGGACTGGATGTAGCCTAATGATATCCCACAGGTTAAAGAGTTGAAAATGTGTTGTTCGAGGTTTTAGGGCTAGCATTTCACTCTGAAAGTTTCTGTTTGGTCAATGGAATGCCACAGCTCCCAGTGCTCTGCAATTTACCAATTCATCTGTCTCTGATATTAAACGGGAGTCACAGCTACCTTATTTAATGTGTTTGGTTTCATTGCATCTCCAGTGCCAATTCCCATCAAGGGCATGTGTTAGTTGTAGGTTCCTAGGCTCCATTTAGTTAAAGTACCTTCCTCCATCTCCTCTCTCCTCAATTGGTTTTCCAAACCTCAAAAGGACCTTATTCTTTTTTTTTAATTTTTATTAATTTCAGGTGTACAAAGCAACATAATAGACATTTAAACCCCTCATAAAGTGATAACTCACCCATCAAGCTATTACCCCTCTGACATCTTATATAGTTGTTACAATACCATTGACTGTCTTCCCTATGTTGTACTCCACATCTTGTGACTATATATACCTATATATTAAGTTATACTTGATATTCAATATTATTCTACTTCAACTTCAGGTGTATAGTGCATTGGTCAGACATCTACAGAGTCCATGAAGTGATCTTTTCTATAAGTCCAGTGCCCATCTGGCACCTTCCATGATCTTTACAACATGGTTGATTATATTCCCCATACTGTATTAACTACCAATTTGTATTTCTTAATGCCTTCACCTTTTTCACCCTGCTCCCAACCCCATTCCCATCTATCACCCTGATAGATCTAGTACCTATCTGGCACCATACCTAGTTATTACAATATTATTGACTATATTCCTTATCCCCATAACCTACATCCCCATGACTACTGTGTAACAACCAATTTGCACTTCTTTTTTATTTATTTATTTTTTTAGATTTTTATTGGGGAATTGGGGGGATGGGAACAGTGCAGGGGAACCGGGGGAAGGGGAACAGACAAGTTGCCGTCGTTTTGTTCTTCAGTCTAGTTGTGGAGGACGTTGCTCCACTGGCCCAAGTTGGCACCATCACCGCGCTCTTCCTGGGCGAGGCAGATCAGTCGCCGGCTTCTGGACGGCCGCTCAC